CTTAATCTCCAGTCCTGAGGGAAATCCCTATAATTTTTACAGATCAGGAAATGGAGGCTCAGAAGAGCATGAGGGGCTCTGTGTTGTATCTTCTTTTTAAAAAAAATATATTTTATTGATTTTTTACACAGAGAAAGGGAGAGGGATAGAGGCAGAAACATCAATGAGAGAGAGACATCGATCAGCTGCCTCCTGCACACACCCCACTGGGGATGTGCCCGCAACCAAGGTACATGCCCTTGACCGGAATCGAACCTGGGACCCTTCAGTCCACAGGCCAACGCTCTATCCACTGAGCCAAACCAGATAGGGCAGTGTTGTATCTTTTTGAGCATGTTCTGTGTGTGCACTCATGTGTTCAAAGAATATTTTTTAAGCACCTACAATATGCCAGGCACTCACTGTTTTAGGAACGGGGGATTTAGAAAGCTGACAAAGACATCATCTTGAGCTTGTAGCCTAGTTGGGGAGAAAAGCAAATAAAAAAGTTAGAATGATAACTACAATGATGAAGGTGCCCAGGGTCTTATAGGGAAGAAAAAGGAGAGGCATCTAAATCAGACCCCGATGGCCCAGCTCTTGTAGGGAGAGGGAGCAGCATGAGCAACGTACGGAACAGCAATGTTTCGGAGGCCTGGAAGGGGTCTGGTCTGGTGGGGACAGAGGTCTCATGGAACAGGAGGGAGGCAGCTGAGTGTGGCTTTGCTGTCAAGTCAGCTGAAGGGGGTGCTCCTGCTTTGCTGGTGTCCCAGGCAACCATCTGAAGCTCTCCTTCCAGCTGTTAGTGGGAGGGGCTTAGTGTGTGGTTAGGGAGGCGGCCAAGGTGGGGGGCAGGGAGGGAGGTTTCTGGAAAAAACTGACTTGTGTCTCCTGGGAAAGGAGAGAGGGGATGGTGTCATGGAGAATTGCCCTAGATCAAAAACAAGTTGTAAATCTGTTGGGCCCTGAAGTTCAGAAGTGACAAGGCATTGATGTTTGTGGCAAGTTCTTGGCTTAATTAAGGAGGCATCTGGCTTCGTCCCCCTCCCCCCACCCGCCTCTTTCCTGCGAGTTCACTGAAAAATGGAACCCTGGCTCACGCCAGGCCCCTGCAAATCCCCCTAAACAGCACTGAGCTGACCCTGGGGCTCAGCAGCATCTCTCCTTTCTGTCTGAGTTCTAATTGGCCTCATAAAATCTAATTTATCCTGTAAATGGGTAAAATAATTTGTCAGAAAAAGGAGATTGAGAGACGGCCGTGGGGCTCCCAAGCATAGCAGCTCTGCGTCTCTGGCAGGGTCTCACCAAGGAGACAGAGGAGACTGGGAGAGGGAGGCCCCCTCGAGGCAGAAAGCTGGCGGGCAGCAAGTGTCCATTGTGTCTGCCCCAGCCCTGAGAGGGGCAGCTGAGAAATGCTTGTGGGAGGGGCTTTGGGGGTCAGCCATGGGGGGGGGTTGGAGGCGGGCAGGAAAGGGCTGGCCACAAAGCCACTGGACAAACAAGGCCCACTCCCCAGAGCATCACTTTTACGAAAAGATTTGATGGTGTAGAAACCACATTTATATGAAAACAAACATTGTTTGTAATGAGCAGAATGCAAAATGTGCCAAAGGTTTAAAATAAAACCATTTCGGGCCGTCAGCAAGCCTCCTGAGGATGCTCCTCTCTGCTGCTGGGCGAATTTTGGTGAAAATGAGAAATGTGGAGATTCTTCATTTTTAAAACTGTGGAAATGGAGGCTGAAAGGAGGAGAGTAATGGACCCACGGTCATACAACAAATGATGAACCCAGGACTCTGACTCTAGGACTAGGTCAAGGCCTGGTCTACTAAGTCCCACTGTCCTTCTGGGCAAGAAGGATGGATTTCCAAGTGGCTGTGTGATGTGAGACTCAGGAAAAACTTCACGAGGGAAGACGGGGGCAGCTTCACGGAGGGCCAGCGCCTGAGCTGGGTCCCTAAGGATGCATGTCCGGGCCACAGAGGTTGGGGCACTGAGGCAGAGAGAAACCTCTTATCCAGGAGCAGCTGCCTCCAAGAGAGATGAGACCCTCCTTCTGGGCCTCAGTTTCCCCCTCTGTAAAGTGAGGAATCTCAGGCTTCCCCACGTGGGCTCGGGTTCCTGGCACAGCCCTGGACCCTCCTAGGTTCTCCCTGCATGTTCACCACTGTTGGTTTCCCTGTTCTGCCTCGCTGGGTGCTGCTGGGCTCCTCAAAGGTGGGGAAGCCAGACATCTGCTGATCCACGAATATTCAGGAAGGGAATCGGAGCCTCCTCTGGGCTCCCCAGCCAGCCGCCCGGCCCCTCTGGCCGCTGTCCTGCTTGCCAGAGCCCAGGCTGCTGACATATCCAGCAGCTGCTCAGGCCCCAACTGTTCACATTGTTTGTTAAGCGCAGCAGGGGATTTTCCAAGCCCCGGCCGGGCGTGCTTTGGGGGGGCGGGGAGGCTGCCAGAGGGCTCAGGGTTTCATGTCAGTGGGGTTTTTCTCCCCTGAAACTCAAACCGACTGATTAGCGGCTGGAACCCGGCAATTGGAAGCCGCTGGGCTGAGAGCCCAGACTTGCCTGCGTTTGAATCTTAGAATCTCGGGCCTCAGAGATAGAAGGGACTGGATGTTGAGAACAGCCATTACCATTTGTGCAGCCCCTTTCAGTGCCTTTAAAGAATGAGCTCCCATTCCTTGATTGGTGCTTACTGGGCTGGAGCCCTGACTTACATCGTGTTGTTTAATCCTCCCAAGCCTGGTGATAGCCTCTTCGTTTTACAGATGTGGAAACTGAGGCCCAGGAAGGGTAAGTGGCTTGTCACACAGCTGGTGGGTGGAAGAACAAGATTGGAACCTTGACCTTCTATGCCAAGGTCAAATACTCTTTCCACCACAACAAATGGCCCGCAATGATGTGAATGCCAATTTTGTTTCCCCAATTAGAATGGAAACTGGGTGAGGGCAAGGATGCCTTCTCCTCCCTGCACCCACTGGTAATGCTGAGCCTCGCTGTGTAGCTGGAGGTGCCAGCTGAGCCTTTCTGATAGATTAAGAGACCTGGTTCAGGCCACGTCTGCCTGCCCTTCACACTGCAGCACCCTGGCCTCCTTATCGTAGCCAGCTCGCACTTCTCCCCTCAGGCTTGTTCTTCTTGGAGGATAGTGGGAAGGGAGCCGGGGGCAGACGGGGGATCTAAGCGGAGGTATATGTGTCCAGGTTTCAACGAGTGTGGCAGAGGCTGGGGAGCACGTGTTCAGGTGTGAAAGGTTGTACCTCCAGTTTGTGTATATGTTCAGATGATGCTCTATGTTTCTTCAGCAATAGGTATGTCTAGTTCATTAATAATCCTAAAATCACAGAATTTCAGACATCACCCCTACATCTGAGTAAACTAAGTCGAGAAGGAGAAGTGACTGGCCCAAGGCCACACAGCTAGACTATGACAGAGCTGGGTCTAGAACTGAGGGTCCCTGATTTCCTCACCATTGTGCTTTCTGCATGCCCCACATGGCTCTGGCAGGCCAGACCTGCCTTGTAATGAGTATGGGCCATTGTCCCTGGTTCACTCTGATACCTCATCCCGCCCTGAAGGAAGGAGTCAGGCCAAAGGATAAGAAGTGATGTTGGGCCATTGAGCTTTTACGGGACAGGGAGGCAGCAGGTCAACCCTCCCAGTGGGAGACACACTGGGAGAACCAATTTCTCTGAGAATGATGGTTCCTGGCACTGCTGAAATGTTGGTTAAAATAATAAATACGGATTGGCCATCGTGTGTTTTGTTTTGAGATGGCATTTCCTTCCTCCATTGTTCCCTTTGTGACAAGGACAGTGCTGAGCTGCAGGCTCTCCTGGCGCCTCTGGAGACTGGGTTCTGGCTCTGGCTTGCTGCCTGGCCCTGGGGAAATGAGCTGCAGGAAGGAGTGCCTAGCTTCCCAGCCACTGGGGCAGGAACGGGTAGGGCTATAGTGGTGAAGACGATCTGTAAGGTTTCAGGGGAGGGAGTGACATCACTGAGCCCCCCGTTCTGTGCCAGGTCAGGCACTGTGCTGTACTCCTTCCCACACGTCATCTCATTCCGTACTCACAACAACCTTATCAGAAGCCATTACTGTGTCTTGTTTTTCAAAAAATATATTTTTATTGATTTCAGAGAGAAAGGGCGAGGGGGAGAGAAATAGAAACATTAAGATGAGAGAGAATCATTGATCAGCTGCCTCCTGCATGCCCCACACTGGGGATTGAGCCCCCAATCTGGCCATGTGCCCTGGCCAGGAATGGAACTGCAACCTCCTGGTTCATAGGTCAATGTTCAACTACTGAGACACACCGGCTGGGCTGTCTTGTTTTTCATTGAGATACAATTCACATACCATAAAACTCACCCATTAAAGTGTACGAATCAATGGTGTTTAGTATATTCACAAGGTTGTGCAACCATCACCATGATCTAATTCTAGAAATTTTTATCACTTCAAAAAGAAACATTATATGTCCCTTAACCATCACTCCTCATTCTTCCCTCTCCCCCATCCCTGGCAACCATTAATCTACTTTCTGTCTCTATGATTTGCCTGTTCTGGACATTTCATAATAATGAGATCATGCAGTATGCGGCATTTTGTGACTGGCTGCTTTTACTTAGCGTAAAATTTTCAAGGTTCATCCACGTCAAAGCACATATCAGTTCTTCATTCCTTTTGGTGGCTGAGTAATGTATTTATCCATTCCTCAGGTGATGGGCAGCTGGGTTATTTCCACTTATTGCCTATCATGAATAATGATGCTAAGAACTGAGTGTTTTAGTGGGTGAGGACATTGAGCAGCTGGGGAAGATGGGCACGGATGGAGAAGTGCAGCAGTTTGCCCCAAATCTCAGTTAGTAAGGGACAGAGCCAGGATCCAGACCCAAGTCTTCCTATGGGACCTCTTTCTCCACAATTTGTTCCAGGCCCTGGGTGGGTGACTCAGGAGCTGGGGTCTGGGGAAGGTGGGAAGACACATGCTGATGGCCCTGGTGTCCCCTCCTCTACGCAGGGGAGCTGCCGTTGCCCCAGGAGACAACCGTGGAGCTGAGCTGTGGACCGGGGCCAGTACAAGTGGTCCTGGGCCCAGAGCAGGTGGCGGTGCTGGACTGTAGTCTGGGGACTGCCGCTGCCGGACCCCCCACCAGCATCACGTGGAGCAAAGACGGAGGTGTCCTGCTGGAGCACAGCCACCTGCGCCTGCTACCCAATGGCTCCCTGTGGCTGTCCCAGCCGCTAGCACCCAATGGCAGTGAGGAGGCAGCCCCTGGAGCCTCAGATGTCATCGAGGGCAGCTATTCCTGTCTGGCCCGTGGCCCGCTCGGAGTGGTGGCCAGCCAGGCTGCAGTGGTCAAGCTCGCCAGTAAGTGCCCGTATCGGGGGACTGAGCTAAGACCGGGGCGGCCTGGGGAATGGGAAGTGGGATCCTGATTGTTACCTGCACAAAAACCTATCTTTTCAGCTCAGGCCCCTTCCCCTGCCTTCCTGGTATTGTCTGCCTCACTGTTCATTAGTCCCATTTCTCCACCCCTGTTCTCGCTCCTTTTCTTTCCCATGGAGTTTGAGAGTCTAAAGTTGTGCTCTCCTCCAGGAAGCCTGCCAGAGGGGCTTATAAGAGTATGGGAGCCCTAACCAGTTTGGCTCAGTGGATAGAGAGTCGGCCTGCGGACTGAAGGATCCCAGGTTCGATTCTGGTCAAGGGCATGTACCTTGGTTTTGGGCACATCCCCAGTAGGGAGTGTGCAGGAGGCAGCTGATTGATGTTTCTCTCTCATCGATGTTTCTAACTCTTTGTCCCTCTCCCTTCCTCTCTGTAAAAAATCAATAAAATATATTTTTTTAAAAAGAGTATGGGAGGCACAAAGGTGGCTCTCCAGAGAGCTCCCCACCTCACAGGAGGTGGAGTATGTGGAGTCAAGCCCCACTGTCCAGTCCACCCTTTGGGGGCTCTCAGGAGGCCCAGGTCACCATGAAATAATTTTCAGGACAGAAAAAGTGTGCATCTTACTGTGGGCTGACCATGATTCTGATGTTAAGCCTGGGGACTTTGGAATTCACAGCATCTAACCAGTAATGACCACTCTTATCTTCTCCAACTGTGTCTCTATTGGTCTGAATTGGCTCTGCTTGTATTCTGTCACCTGTGTCTCTCGTGTGTGTTTCACTGTCTGTGCGCGCTGTGGCCTCTCTTCCCCGTCCCTCTCCTGTCCCTGCCTGTGTGTCGTCCTCATCCTCAGCACTCACAGGCTTCTCTCTGCACCCGGAGTCTCAGACAGTGGAGGAGAACGGGACAGCTCGATTTGAGTGCCACATTGAAGGGCTGCCAGCTCCCAGCATTACTTGGGAGAAGGACCAGGTGACAGTGCCTGCGGAGCCTCGGTGAGTGCCCTGTAGGGGAGTGGAGCGTGGGGCCCAGTGGGCAGGCCAGGGCGGGCTCAGGGATTCTTAGAGTCAGGAAGCCTCCGTTTGCTGAAACTGACTTAGGAGCCAAACACTGCCTCACTCTCAGCTCATTTCTGGTCCCAAGCAGAAGTCAGGCAAGAAGTTTTTGCTCCCTGGGAGGAAACGCCCACCCGCCCTAAGCGATGAAGCTTGGGTAGAGAGTAGTGATAGAATCCTTCAGAGCATCTCTAGTCCAACCACTTGCTTTATTGAGGACCCTCAGGACCAGAGAGGAGCTGTGGTTTATCCAAAGCCACACCATGAATCTCTGGCAGAATGTTTATTTGTTCAAGGCCCCACGGCTGCTGGAAAGGTATTCTCTTTGCAAGGTTCTTCTGGGGTTTCTACCTCTCTTCCTCTCTCAGGCCCTCCAGTAGCATCTGATAAATGGGTTGTGGGGGTCCTTCCTGTTTCAACCTCCTCTCTCCCCATGAAGTCAGTGGGCAGAGGGAGCCATGCCGGGGAAGCGTTTCTAAGGTGGAAAAGAAGCAGAGGCTAAACCCTCTCGTGGCCTCCTGGGTGGCCCAGATGTACCAGCAGGTGACCAGAAGGCATGAGGCTCATTCACATCTGAGCTGATCTCATGGCTCGGTTGTCATCCCATGGATTCTCACATCCATGGAAATGTGGCTCCACAGGCCTTTCCCAGCCTCTGGCTACCTCTCTCTAGCTGTAGCTACCACCTCACCCTCTCCTGGTGGAGGTGGGGTTCCTTCGGCTCAGAAACACTGGTTTTCAGATCTCCCTGCCCTGGGACTAACCTGTCTTGAATGTGTTGAGTTGTCCCAGTTCTTCCTACTTTTGCCCATGTCTAGGTAGGGGTGAAAGTGTAGGAGAAATTTCTATGTAGAAAAGCCACAGGACACATCTCTGTAACAGTTGTGAAGGAGAAAGAAGGGAGAGAAGTCAAGATATAAGCCACCATGTTGACTTTGGTGATTGGTTAGTCCCATTGGTCCTCAGCAAGTCACTTCTCACTTAA